TTAACCCCTTGGAAACAGAGTCTGTAATCCATTGGAAAAAGTCATATAATCCACAACGGTAAATCCACAACGATTGGAAGTGTTGATTAATCAGCATACAGAGGGGTACCCTTGGATTGAACTGAAGATGCGGCCACTGGATGAAGAGTGGAGACCAACGTCAGGATTGCAGGTCGCCTCCAGCGAAGGTTGTCTCCAGCGACGTCCAGCCTGTGCCGTTCTGGTTCAATGTGTCATGCAATTATGTGGTTTAAGGTGGGCTTATGAAGGGGATTTTACATAAGGCCTTAAACTATATGCACCTGGTGTGTAAGCTATTATGGTTGGGAACAGCTACAACTACCAGTTAAGGGGTGGAGCATGCTGAAAAGGGGTAACTACAGGGGTTTAAACCTATAGAAAAGGGTTCCAAACTACTTTTCCATTTCTAACTTGGGTTAAGTTAGCTTTACATGGCAAAATATAGTTTGGTTCAAATGTCTGTTGTCTTTTAGACGAACGACTTGAGATTGGGTGTTTGGTTTCCCCATAAATGTTTTGGAAGTCTATGGCGAGACTTATCAAAAAGAATTAGCTATCCCCCCGAATAGAATTGTTCGAGTAGGTTCGGCTTAAGCGATGTGAGATCAATGTAGATTATGGTACTTAAGGTAACAATAATATACATTGACTCCGCAAGGATTGCAATTTAGCGAATGAACTGCATGTTGGCATGGTCAAAGGCTTCTTAGTCTCTAACTTACTACACACAAGATTCATTCTTACCTCAGAAACAACCAAAATCAACTAAACAACGTTTCAACACCGACAAGAGTAGTGACTAAGCATCTAGAAACATCGTTTCACTGCTCCTCCTCACCCTGGTTGTCAGTTTCAGTCACGTTGCCCCGTACGGGCCACCAGTTTGTAGATGAACAGATGCTGGGATATATTCATCATTTAACGCGGGTTCCTCATTTTTCTGGACTGAATAAAACGTGCATTGAATTTAAGGAAATGCAAAGTGAGACGTCATTTATATTTGACCCATCAAAATGAATGCGGTCATTTATTTACAGAATCAAATTTAACATCAAACATGTACATTAATTTGGCAAATTATGAAAATAACAACAAAGCAATCAATCAGGAAAAATCATACGGCCATGATTTTTCCGTTGCTGCACCACAAACATTTATAAACTGTACAACTATGATCTTTTACCCACACGGATGTGAATAAGCACTTTACACAGACATTTCTAAATATCTGGGAGAATTTCTACTTGATAGAAAGTTAAAGATGAAAGAAGTTAAAGGGAGTAAGATTGAATGGGAAGGGAGGAATGTTCACCAGAACCGACACTCTCCATCAGAAGCCCAGCTCTCCTTCGGTACGCTTGGTAGGAAACTTGATCCATTACCTTTCTGAAGATTTATCAGCAGATATGGAATTCCGTTAACGCTACCTGTCCAGCGTCTCCTGCGGTGGCTGTAGCTCGTCAGAAGTAGTGGCTAGTGAAAGTTATAATCCCATGGAACTCGGAAGAGCCTTTTGTCATGTCAAGATCATCCCGTCTCTAACAGAACTTGAGCAGAACCAGCAGAAAACTCTCCAGCACTCCAGCAACTTCAGAACTCCAGAACTCTAGAAGTCTGACAACTCTCCAACTCTGTAACTCTGTGAGTCTGTGAGTCCGTGTAGACCAGGAAGTACTGACATTTTAAAGACTCTTTCCCGGTTCACTTTTTGGGATTTTTCATTGGTCAGAAACGACCAGAAGGGGTGTGTTTTTGTGACGTAAGAGGTTAGAGACAGCGAGAATTTGTTATGAGACAGATCAGAAATGTTCTCACAGACCGAGAGGGTTTTGTTTTGGCGTGTTTCAGGAAACAGGTGCAAAACATCTCTACTTACGTCTGAGAGGATTCTAAAACATGACAGTTTTAACATAACAACTTGTTTTTCGTTTGACTGTAACCTTGTAAACGCACACACTTGCTCATTCAAAAGCAGAAATCAGAAAAATGCATAATTACTCTGTAACAGCTTTTAACATGAGTTCTAACTGCATGAGAATAAAAATCATTACTCAGTTAATAAAATTTGATTAGTTCACTGCAACATCTAAAATGGTTTGAACTAAGACACTTTGATTATCAACATTTGTAAGATAGTAATGATAATAAAAAGAGAGTGTTCTTTTCACTTGAATCTTCAAGAAAGAAAGTCTCAGGATGGGTGAACCTGTATTTATGTATTCAAATACATGAAATGACAGTTCCTGTCCCACAAGGTTCTTAAGGTCAAGAGTTTTGACCTTAGACTTAGTTTCGACGTAGGCCTAGTCCACTACTATTTTCAACCCTCTCCTGCATTTTTCAACTTGGGACTGTCCGTGGAAGCCACGAACCAGGTGAGTCTTGACTCCAGGACCACATCTATTGCTGTGTGTAACACTGGCATTGATGAGGTGCTGATCCCAAAAAAGACTATGCTAGGATGGTTGATTTCAACCGACTTTCATGATTTTGAACTAGGCATTCCATTCCTGGGAGGACTCCCAGACAATCTGGTACCGAGTAAAGAAGCTGGGCCAGTATGGTTCACAAAACCAACACAGGCCATAGCCCTTTTCTCAACCAATGACGTCGACCAAGGACCTCAAACCTATGGTGTTTTACCCATAGACAGGCCTGACGACTCACAAAGGGATTCGTTGGAGCTCCCCAAGGAGCAAGAACCCTTATCAGTCTCATCACAGATTGATCAGGTGGTCGCACAAGCTGACGCTCTGACATCTGATGAAGAAAGAGACAAACTACGCCAAGTTCTTTTAAAATATGAAAAGTCATTTGCAACTGATTCAACAGATTGTGGGTTGACCTCACTCCACGCAGTGAGAATCCCAACCCCACCCAACGCACCGCCAACATTTGTCAGACAATACAAGATCCCTCTGGCAGCATACCAACCTGTCCAGGAGATCATTGATGACCTTTTGGTCAAAGGTATAATCAGACAATGTAATAGCACCTACTCTGCGCCTCTATGGCCAGTTTTAAAACCAAATGGTAAGTGGAGACTTGCCATAGACTACAGGAAGCTAAATAAACAAGTACCTTTATCCAGGTGGCCAATGACTCAGCTCCATCAGGAACTGCCAAAGGTCACCGATGGTAAGTACTTCTCGACCCTCGACGTCGCCTCTGGTTTTTGGACCATCCCTGTGCGTGCCGAGGATCAACACAAACTAGCTTTCACTTTTGGCAGCCGACAATACACCTTTACCAGGTGTCCCTTTCCAGCGTGTCCCTGTGATGGACTGAGACCTGTCCAGGGTGTCCCTGTGATGGACTGAGACCTGTCCAGGTGTCCCTGTGATAGACTGAGACCTGTCCAGATGTTCCTGTGATGGACTGAGACCTGTCCATGTGTCCCTGTGATGGACTGAGACCTGTCCATGTGTCCCTGTGATGGCCTGAGACCTGTCCAGGTGTCCCTGTGATGGACTGAGACCTGTCCAGGTGTCCCTGTGATGGACTGAGACCTGTCCAGCGTGTCCCTGTGATG